TCACGATCACAAACACCATCACCAGCACCATCAACATCATCAGCCTCATAAGCATCAACACTAACATCATCATTGTCATCAACATTGTCATCAACATCGTCAGCATCAACATCATCAACAACAACATCAACAATATCATTGGCATCATCACCACCAGTTTCCATCAGCAGCATCATCACCATCATTTCCAGCATCCTCATCCGCATCATCATCAACATCAGCATCATTCTCCATTCTCACTACTGCGCCGATCCGAAAGTTTCCCCAATTTCGCCACCGTGCCAGCCGCGGCCATCTGGGGTGGCGCGCGCGGGACAAGGCTCGCGGGGCCTGATGGCAGATGGTGGCGATGTCGCGAGGGCGGGGTTTGCGCGCCGATGGGCAGCCCAGCGCCCCGTTTGGCCGGGGGGGCCCAGTACAATGCAAGAGCAGAGCCGAAACCCCGCCCGCGGTCGCGGGAGCGGGTTCCCCTTCCCAATTTGAAATTCTACATCCCAAACGGTGCACAAACCCGAAAATGAGCAAACGGCATAGGACCTCCTGGAAAGAAGCTTTCGGGCTCATGCGCCGACCCGAAAAGTTTATCGGCCGACCTGAAAGTGGCCAAATTCCATAGGACTTGTGCCAAACAAAATTTTCGGGTTAGGTTCGAACGACCAGAATATGTGCAAACCGCTTCGGACTCCTAACAAAAACATCGTTCTCGAGGTCTTCGGGCCCGCTCCGAAGAAACCGAGCATGGGTAAACCGCCTCGAACTTCCTATCAAAAACGGCTTCTCGGTGGTTCCGGGCCTCGTCCTAAAGAGCCGCCGATGGGCAGACCCCTTCAGGACTTCCTGCACAAGAAACTATGTCCCGGGTGAGCCATTGTCAACGGGAGCGCGCCCCGCGCGGGATCGGGGTTCGCGAGGGGGGCGCGGCTGCTCTCGCGCGTCCAGGGGGCATGCATTTTCGCGCCCTTCCAGCATTGCGTTTGCGCTGCATTCGCGCGGCGCCGTGCTTCTCAAATCGGATTAAACATTCGGAGCGCCGATGGGCATTCGAACGCAAGGACCGTGCAGGTCATGCGTTTGCGGTGGTTTCATCAAGATCCCAATGGTGCTGCATGCGTTCGGCGTCCCAGCGCCTGCACGATTACAGTATTGTTTGTTGCGTGATTGCGTTATTGTGTGAGTTCCTCTGCACGTCTTCAGTCCAGCCTAGCCGCCACGCGCGGCTAGGCTGGATGGTTGTTTTTACAAGGAGGGCTTCGCTTGAAAATACCACTGGGCATTCGAACGCAAGGACCGTGCAGATCATGTGTTTTGCGGTGGCTTCACCAAGATCCCAATTGTACTGCATGCGCTCGGCGTCCCAGCGCCTGCACGATTACATGTTTGTTTGTTGCGTGATTGCGTTGTTGTGTGGTTTCCTCTGCACGTCTTCAGTCCAGCCTAGCCGCCACGCGCGGCTAGGCTGGATGGTTGTTTTTGCAGGGGGGGGGGCTTCGCTGGAAAACACCACTGGGCATTCAAACGCAAGGACCGTACAGGTCATGAGTTTTGCTGTGGTTTCACCAAGATCCCAATGGTACTGCATGCGTGCGGCGCCCCAGCGCCTGCACGATTACATTATTGTTTGTTGCGTGATTGCGTTGTTGTGTGGTTTCCTCTGCACGTCTTCAGTCCAGCCTAGCCGCCACGCGCGGCTAACCTCAGGAAGCAATTAAGGAACCCCCCGGGGTTATCGTTAGCACCGCGCCGTAATTAAATAATTATTTGGGGTGGTTTTAGCCGAGCGTTATCTTTAGCACCGCGCAAAACAAAAATAAATTAAATAATTCCAGCGCCATGGCCCTAAGGATTCCTAAGGATTCCTAAGGATGCCTAAGGAAGGTCTGAGGATTCCTAAGGAAGGTCGGTGTACACCGAAAAGCAGCAGCACCCCTCTCAGACAATCCTGGAAGAGCCCAGGGGGGACCTCTGAAGGAGCCCAGGGAGGGGGGCAAGGATTTCCTGGGATGCCAAGGAAAAAAGGTTGAAGGAGATGCTGAGGAGCCCAAGGCCATTCCATGGAGTCACTGATGCTAAACACTTCCACGGAGTCCTGGTCCCCCCTGGGCTCTAGTAGTAGTAATAGTAATAGTAATAGTAATAGTAATAGTAATAGTAATAATAATAGTAATAATGCTAATAATAGTAATAGTAATAGTAATAGTAATAGTAATAGTAATAGTGATAGTATTGGTAATAGTACTAGTAATAGTAATAGTAATATAATAGCAATACTAATACTGATAGTAATAGTAATAGTAATAGTAATAGTAATAGTAATAGTAATAGTAATAGTAATAGTACTAGTAATAGTAATTGTAAGAGTAATAGTAATAGTAATAGTAATAGATATAGTAATAGTAATGGATATAGTAATAGCAGTAGTAATAGTAATAGAAATATTAATAGTAATAGTAATAGTAATAGTAATAGTAATAGTAATAGTAATAGTAATAGTAATAGTAATAGTAATAGTAATAGTAAACGTAGTAGTAATACTGATAGTAATAGTAATAGTAATAGTAATAGTAATAGTAATAGAACTAGTAATAGTACTAGAAATAGAAATAGAAATAGTAATAGTAATAGTAATAGTAATAGTAATAGTGATAGTGATAGTAATAGTAATAGAGATAGTAATAGTAATAGTAATAGTTATAGTAGCAGTAATAGTAATAGTAATAGTAATAATAATAGTAACAGTAATAGTAATAGTAATAGTAGTAAGAATGGTAATAGTAAGAGTAATAGTATTAGTAATAGTAATAGTAATAGTAATATATATAGATATAGTAATAGTAATAGTAATAGTAGTAGTAATAGAAATGGTAATAGTAATAGTAATAGATATATTAATAGTAATAGCTCGTACCCAGCGACTGCAGGTTCACACGCTCTCCTTACCGTCCACTACAAGTCTCCTTTTTCTGATTCTCCTCATCGCCCCTCTCCTAACAAATTCTTATTGATATCCGTATTGAAACATTAATTATTTTCGGCCATCCTGTGGGGTGGTCCATCCCAGGATAACGCGCCACCCCGCACCGCGGCGTTATCTTAGCACCGGTCACGCACGGAAAATAATTCCCCGCCCCCCGACCCCCGGGCAAGAGGGAGGGCAAGAGTACTAGGGAGGAGAATAATCATATACAAATTATAACCAAGCGGGAGGAACAGGAAAGACAGAAGTACGACTGAACACGCGTCAATATGAATACGAATCTACAGAGTAATTCAATAACTGATCTCACACGACCGCCCAAGGAATCGAGAAGCTCAGGGGCCCCACTGCTGCCTTTCGGGAACCTCGAAAGCTGCGGACGCGAGAAGCCTGAGAATCCGTCTGCTACGAACGCAGACGAGTCTGCGTGCCGACGCAAGCAAACCGCCTGAAACACTCTCGCAATCTGGCTTCCGTGTGGTTCGGAAACAAACGCTTCGCCTGAGACATCCTCAAGAACTGCTCTGACACATCCTATGGGAAATCTTGTGGGTGAGTTCTATGGGGGGGTCCTATGAGGGAGTTCTATGGAGGAGTCCTATGGGGGAATCCCACGGGGGAGTCCTATGGGGGGGGGTCCGATGGGGAAGGCCTATGGGGAAGTCCTAGGGGAGAGGTCCTATGGGGGAGTCCTGGGGGGGAGTCTTCTGAGTGAGTCCTATGGGGGCGTCCTACGGGGGGGGCCCCCCGCGGCGATGAAGCACACGCGTCGCTTGAGACATCCTCGCAATGTGGGCCCGCACTTACCTCCCTCCCTCCCTCTCTCCGTTCTTCTCAAAGACTGCGAGGTGCCAGGATAACGCCTCCATGGTGCTTGGATGCGTTATACTTTCGGTTCCGAGAGGGGGGGGGGGGGGGTGGGGTGGGGGGGGGGGGGGGGGGGTTTCTTAATTGCTTCCTGCGGTTAATCATCACTAGCATGATCTCAGCATCAGCATCAACATCATCACCAGCATCATCATCATCATCAGCATCATCATCATCATCATCATCATCATCATCATCCTGGTCGTGAGCGATTTATCTCGATCCTGGACCCGATGTTAGGGCCGGGTCCCACACATGGTGAAGAACTTCCAGGACGCGTTTCTTCGGTCTGCTAACGCTCCAGGGGCGGCCCAGGACAGGCTCCAAAGGAGCCCCCACGAACGGTTGAGCACCTCCAGGACACGTTCCGTAACACTCTCCGATCTCACGCTTGTCCATCCGCGGCCCCGGAGCTCACATTGGAAGGGACCTCTCAAGTTTTCGTCAGGCCTGCGCGATGTCCATAAGAGCAAGAACGCAGCTGAGCACAGGAGGACGTGCAGGCAGCTACGGAGCTCGAACATGCAATAGCAAGGTGCGGACGACGCTGCAAAGCCCTAGGCAAGCAGAGCATTGGCAGCGCGAGCTTCAGACCCCTTCCCCGGGGCCAATCTTTCGCCCCGGGTCCGTTTTTGATGGTCCCCGGCGGCCCGACGACGCGCCCCATGATGTCGAAACCCAGGAAGAGCGCCCGGAGGAAGCACTGATGGGCTTGTTGTCCACCACCACCACCACCACGATAAGCAATTAGGAGGGGGAGGGGGTCCTCCTCCTCCTCCTCCTCCCCCTCCTCCTCGTCCTACTCCTCGTCCTCCACCTCGCTCCCCCCTCCAACTTATGGTGGTGGTGGTGGAAACCAGGCCCATGGATGAAGGCGCCCTGGGACACCCAAATATATAGACACAACTAACAGCATTCCCTATATTTTCCCATATCTTCTGGGTTTTTGTCTCCCCCCCCCACTTCCCATATTTCCCAATATTTTCTGGGGAATCGACGCTTCATTGTGACTGTGTGTTTTTTTTCCCCTCCGGAATGAAGCACGTCGCGTCGTCGCACAATTTCGGCTTGCATTCCAGGGCCCCCCTGCCTCTGCACGCCGCACGCGGCCAGCCGGCCCCCGAAGGCCCCGGTGGATGGCGGCGGCGCGCCCCGGCGGTCAGGTGCCCCCGCAGAAGCACCTGCACGCGCGCGGCCTCTCGCCGTCCGTCTCGTCCGGGGGCCGCACGAGGATGACGTCGCTCGTGCGCGGGAGGGGCAGCGGGAACTCCTCCTCCCCCTCTTCCTCCTCCTCCTCCTCCTCCTCCTCCTCCTCCTCCTCCTCCTTCGTCCTCCTCCTCCTCTCCTCGTTCTCCTCCTCCTCCTCCTCCCACTCCCCCTCCTCCTCCTCCTCCTCCTCCTCCTCCTCCTCCTCCACCTCCTCCTCCTCATCCCTCCTCCTCGTCCTCCTCCACCGTCTCCCCCCCCCCTTCCCGCAGCGGGAGCCACGACGACCCAGACGACGCGCAGGGAGAACGAGGAGCACGGGGCACAGGCGTCGAGCCACCAGAATCGAGCGACGGAGGGCACGAGCATCCACTTTCGAGGCTCCGCGCGGGTTTCTGGGACCGGCGCCGAGCCCCCTGGCGGCGCCTCCAGCACTGAGCGCCAGCGAGGAGGTCCAGCACCGATCCGAGGAATCTGCGCGAGACTTGGGACGCTGAATAAGGAACGAAGGGGCTTTTCTCGCCACGGCGAGCCTTGGCCTTGAACAGGCTCCCCAGCCCAGATTCAAGGAACGGCCTGGTAACCAGAGCCCCTCCTGAGCCCAAAGGAGTCGCTATTGCAACGTCTTTTTCTGCAGGCCGAGGCGCAGGAGGAAGAGGACGACGACGACGACGACGACGACGACGACGGCGGCGGCGACGACGACAAGCAGAAGCAACAGATGCAACGGGACAAGCAGAAAGAAGATGAGGGGCGTCAGCGGAACCAGTAGCAACAAGACGAGCGGGAAGAGAGCGTGTGTAAGACGGAGGATGTGGGACACGGAGTGGCTCACTGAGGGCATGTCTGTATATCCCCTAAACAGTGATTGCACGTCAGAGTCTTACTTCTGGTCTAAAGAACTGGGCCTCTGTGTCAGTCTGGCGGGTAACTGCCAGCCGCCGCCGCCTCGTCGCCGCCTCGTCGCCCGTCGCCTGGGCTTGTATGTCGGTTTGGCGGCTATGTCGCCGCCGTCGACCCCCCGTCGTCGCACGTCGTCTGGGCCTGCCTGTCGGTCTGGCGGCTGTGTTGCCGCCGTCGCCGCCCCGTCGGCGCTCGTCGTCTGGGCCTGTCTGCTGGTCTTGCGGCTACGTTGCTACAGTCGCCGCCCCGTCGCCGCCCGCATAGATTGCAGCTCGAATGAATTTCATAACATAGATTGCGCACCACATCGACTGCATCACGTTGATTGCAGCTGCACATAGGTTGCCCCACGAATATATTGCAGCACAAATACTTGACGACATAGACTGCACCACATAAAAGTGCACCACATGTATTGCAGCACATAGGTTGCACCACAGATATCGGCATACTGCATTCTGTATATTACACATCATAGGTTGCACCAACCATTTTGAAATATCCATGTATCTATACACACAACTATTGCAAATCATAGATTGCACCACGCAGATTGCACCACATAGATTGCTAGACATAGGTTGCAGAACACACATAGATTGCTCTACATGAATGTCACCACTATTGCACAACTTAGATTGCAAATCGTAGATATCATAACGAAGATTGCACTACAAAAGCGGCACCACATATATTGCACCACTTATAACGCTCCATACAAATAGCGCCACATTGATTACTCCGCATATATTTCATCGCATGTACGGCTAGAAATACATTTTGTTGAGTCCACGGTGGCTAAGATACATTCTCATACCTATGACTAACAATAATTCCCCCAGAATGCTTGCGTTCAGAGTTCTGATACCTTTTACCGTCAAACTGGGCCTGGCTGTTGGTCCGGTTGCTATGTCGTCGCCATCGCAGCCCCGTCGCCACCTCGTCGCCGCCCATCGTCTGGGCCTTTCTGCCAGTTTGGCGGCAATGTCGTCGCCGAAGCCCCCTCGTCGCCTCCCGTCGCCTCGGCCTGGATGTCGGTCTAGCGTCTACGTCGCCGTCGTTGCATCCCCGGCGCCGCCTCGACACGTCCATATGGGTTGCACCGCAAATATGGCACAACTCAGATTGAACCAGATAGATTGCAACTCGTAGGGGGCACAACACATATTGCAAAAATATACAGCACAACAAGTGCTGCACAATAGAAATGGCACAACACTTTGCACCACATAGATTGCACCACGCATGTTGCAAATCATATAGATGTATATATACATATACATATATAGCAATACATTACAACGTGGATCGCACAACCAAAAGTACACAACATATATTGCACCATCTAGACTGATCACGTATATTGCCCCACGTAGATTTCACATTGATTGCAACACTTAGAGCCTCCTTTTTTTTGCAAACATATAGATTCCCCCCCTCCCCCCGCCCCGTAATGCCCCACTCGTTATTGCAATGAACATATGATTCTGTCCCATCGCCCAGCCGAAATATGAATTCCGATCGTCCCAGCACACCCGGTATCGCCCCCCCCAATTTCCGGCAACGAATGCTGCGCGCGCACTGTTTTATCAAAACCGTAGGTTTTCAAGAAACCCAGCACAACCTGAGGTCCCGCAAAGATTTCAGAATCGAATGCCCCGAAAACATGGACAGGCACATATCTTCGCAACATTAAGAAAATGTACCCGCGCTCTTGCAATCTCTTAAACAGAACCATCGGTTTCTCAAAATGTTCATACCTTGCTATCCATCGGGTTTCTTGCGCGCGCGTGTCGGAATCGCAAAACACTCTTGCGCGCGTGCTGTCGCAAGAATCCCTTGCAACAAATGGGACGAGGTGCGCACGCGCGCGTCGTCGCGCGCGCATGCTGCAATCTTTCGAAAACCCCGAATTTCGTAAAAATATAACAGGGTCGTGTGCCCCGAGTACGTATCAAAACACACATGGTGTTGCAACGACATTGCTTATAGTCATAAATATAGATATAACAAAAAACTTGCGGTCGCGATCTTGCGAAATATGAAAAACGCCACCGTTTGTTCGACAATTGCAGTAGCTTCTGGAAAAACGGGCCTCTCACGCCGCGTGTCGAATTCATTCGAACGCCATTGCGCGCGTGCTGGGATGGGGCACGCCCCGTGCCGAATAGTACCATGCGGGCCGCTCTTGCGCGTCGTCCGCGCGCGCATGTCGAACTCGTTCCAATGCCTTCATCACCGAGGCGGGAACGCCGCCATCGTCGCCGGCGTGATCAGCATAGTCGCCGTCAGTGGCCGTGCTGTCGTCGTTGTCATCCACGCTATCCGCACCACAACTATTATTTTCACGCCTACAATGGTCGACGTTGCCATGATACCGCGCCCGCCCAAGTCGCCGACTCGCGCTGAAGTGCTGGCTGGGCAATGCCCAAAGGTCAGCGCCATTACGGCCGCGCCACTCGCGTCAAACTAGCTGGCCGATGCGCGCGCGAGCATGCGCGGGCTAACGCGGCAGCGTCGATGCGCCAGCCAACGCCGAGCAGTCATCGCAATCGCCGACGCATGGGTTTTGCAAACCAAGTTGCGGGTGAGTGTGTGGGATTATTGCGCGAGCGATGGGTCTGACAACTTCAGGCTCGGCGAAGCGAGCTTCACATCTTATCGAACTCTCCACCTATATTCTCCCTTCTAAAAAAAATAAACTCTACCCCCCCCCCCTGGCGATATCGCCCCCCTTTCGGGTATGTAAATCACATACGATTCTGACCACATGTCCATCCTAAATATGAAATCGCAATGCCCAGGCCAACCAGTATACCCTCCTGAGGTTCCTTTATACAAAACACTATGCGGTGACAATTTTGGTTCTAGCATAACATTTTTTTCGCGAGCCCCTTTCAAACAACGGGACGAAGTGCACACGCGCGCGTCGTCGCGCGCGCATGCCGCAATCCTTCAAAAACCTTCGGTGCCGGAAAGATTTCGCAATCGAATTTCCAAAAAACATACAAAAACACCTGGTTTCGTAACACTGATTTGCTAAAAAAGCTTCCGCGCGAGCTCTTGCGAAATCTTACGAACAAGATTTTCACAACATGCTATCAAACGGGCGTCGCGCGCGCATGTCGAAATCTGTCGAACGCCCTTGCGCGTGTGCCGTCGAGAGAATCCTCTGCAAAAAACGGGACGAAATGCAGACGCGCGCGTCGTCGCGCGCATACGCCGAAATTTGTCAAAACCCATCGGTTTCGGAAGGATTTCAAAAAATCGCACGTCCAAAAAAACAGCAAAAACAGAAGGTTTCGCAACACAGAGTTTCAACAAAAGTGTGCGCGCGCGCTCTTGCGGCGTCGTCGTCGTCGGCGTCGTCGTCGTCGCCGTCCTCCCTCCTCCCACGTCGTCGTCCTCGCCGTCGCCTACGTCGTCCTGTGTCTTTCCTCGTGTTCGTCGTCGTCGTCCTCTTTGGCGTCGTGGTCGTTTCCGTCGTCGTTGTCGCCGTGGTCGTCCTTCCTCCTCCTCTCTCGTCGTCGTCGTCGTCGTCGGTCGTCGGCGTGTCGTCGTCGTCCCTCCTATTTCGTCGCCGTCGTCGTCGTCGTCTTGTCGTCGTCGTCTCGTCGTCGTCTTCCCTCCTCCTACGTCGTTGTCGTCGTCGGCGTCGCCGCCTTCTTCCGTCTTCGTCGTTCGCGTCGTCGCCGTCCTCCCTCCTCCCTCGTTGTCGTCGTTGTCGTCGTCGTCGTCGTTGTCGCCGTCGTCGTCCTCCCTCCTCCCTCGTCGTCGTCTTCGCTGGCGACGTCGTCGTCGTCTTCGTCGTCGTCGGCGTCGGCCGTCTTGCTTCTCCGGCCTTCTTGGGGCGCTCTTGAGACGCCCCCGAGGGCTCCAACACGACCCCGGAGCGATATCTGTGCTCGGTCCCGCATGGGTTTTGCAAACCAAGTTGCGCGTGGGTGGGTGGGACGATTGCGCGAACAGTGGAGTTGACAACTTCAAGTTCGGCACGCGATTGATTCTCCTTTTTAAAAGCAGAATAAGATCTACCCCCCTACCCAGCGTTATCGGTCCCCTTTTCGGGTATGTAAATCACATATGATTATGACCACATGTCCATCCTAAATATGAAACCGCAATGTCCTAGGCCAGTCGGTATTCCCCCCGTGAGGTTTCCTTGAAAAAAACCATATACGGTGACAAGTTTTGCTCAAACATAGAATTTGTTTCACGAATCCCTTGCAAAAATGAAACGAATTTCACACGCGCGCGTCGTCGCGCGCGCATACCGAAATCCTTCAAAAACCTTCGGTGTCGGAGGGATTTCGCAATCGAGTTTCCCAAAAAACATACAAAAACACATGGTTTCGCAACACGGATCTGCTAAAAAAAAATCGCGCGAGCTCTTGCGAGATCTTAGGAAAACCATGGGTGTTTCAAGATTTTCACAACATGCTATTAAACGGGTTTCGCGCGCGCATGTCGAAATCTGTCGAACGCACTTGCGCGTGTTCTGTCGCGAGAATCCTCTGCAAAAAAAGGGACGACGTGCACACGCGCGCGTCGTCGCGCGCGTATGCCGAAATCCTTCAAAACCCATCGGTTTCGGAAGGATTTCAAAATCGTGTCCAAAAAACCTACACAAACCCTAGGTCTCGCAACACGGATTTTCAACAAAAGCGTGCGCGCGCGCTCTTGCGTCGTCGGGGTCTTCCTTCCTCCCTCGTCGTTGTCGTCGTCGGCGTCGCCGTCCTTCCTCCTTCTTCGTCGTTCGCGTCGTCGCCGTCCTCCCTCCTCCCTCGTCGTTGTCGTCGTTGTCGTCGTTGTCTCCGTCGTCGTCCTCCCTCCTCCCTCGTCGTCGTCTTCGTTGGCGACGTCGGCGTCGTCGTCGTCGTCGTCGTTGTCTTCGTCGTCGTCGTCGTCGGCGTCGTCGGCGTCGTCGTCGTCGTTGTCATCGTCGTCGTCGTCGGCGTCGTCGTCGGTGTCGTCGTCGTCGTGGTCGCTGTCGTCGTCGAAGTCGTTGGAAACGTCGTCGGTGTCGTCGTCGTCGGTGTCGGCGGCGCCGTCGTAGTCGTTGTCGTCGTCGTCGTCGGCGTCGGTGTCGTGGCCAATTGCCATATGGTGCCTACCGTCACGGCCTTGTCTTAAGAGGTCTTGCGACCAAGTTGCGGGTGGGAGAGTGGGGTGTTTGCGCGGGCAGTGGAGAGGACAGCTTCAAGACGGTCAAACTGGACTAAACAACATAGATTGCACCACGCATGTTCTCTTTCTCTCGAACGGGGTATTTGCCCCCCCTTTGCGCAACACACTACTGTGCAGTTGAGTTTGCCTCATAATTCATCTTTCTTGTGAAACTAGAGCACCCCAAGGGATACCCCCATCACCCCTCTGCCGAATAAGACCATACGCGCACACCCGCTGATCCCGAAACACGAAGTTGCAGCAACCCCCAATCCCCTGCAGCACAAGCGACTAAATCCGCACGCGCGCGTCGTCGCGCGCGCACGTCGCAATCTTCCAAAACAGCCGCAAGTATCGCACGGATGTCAACATCGAGGTTCCCAGGAACGTGCGCAAACCATCATTGCCAATATCAAACTTTAAAACAAGCGCGCGTTATTGAGGATGCTCCTGAGAAAAATGCCCATCGGTTTCGTCACATGAAACTACGCGGGCCTCTCGCGCGCGCTCGATGAACTCATTTGATCGCCCTTGCGCGCCTGCGGGGAAGAGGGGGGGACCACGAGCCCTGTCAATTAATCCAATGCGGGCCACGCGCGCGCGTCGGCCGCGCGCGCAGGTCGAAGTCCAAGGCCTTCATCAGAGACGCCTGGACATCATCACCATCAGCATCACCATCACTGGCGTGACCAACATCGGCGAAGCCATTGGCCGTGCCGTCGTCATCGGCACAGCAATCATCACCATCACCGCTGTTAGCATCATCGTTTCAACACTTGCCGACGTCACCGTAATACCGCGCCCGCCTGGGCCACCGACCCGCACAAAAGTGCCCACGCGCCAGCGCAGCCTGTGGGACGCGCTGGGCAGCTCCCGCAAGTCAGCGCAACAGCGGCCGCGACGGCTGTGCCACACAAGGTGGCCGCTCTGCGCGCGAGCTTGCGCGTGCTAGTGCGCGGCCGCAGATATGCGCCAGCCAACGCCGAGCAGTCATCGCAACCGCCGCCTGTGCTTCACAAGCCACGTTGCTGGCGGGTGGGTGGGCGGGATGGTTGCCCGAACACTGGGGTTGACAACTCCAGGCTCTTCAAAGTTATATGCAACACATATATTGTACAGAATGGCTGGCACCACAGACATTGCTCCACATATGTACATGCCAATGGAACGTATACGCATAATGTCTGGCACCGCATATATTGCACCAGCACGTTGAACTACAGAGGTTGCACCATAGCTGTATACGTCTATATACTCCGTTCATACAGAGAATTCGAATCCCCCCCGAATTAACGATCCCCCCTCGAAATATGAAAAATTACAATTCCGCCCCATCGTCCATCCGAAAAATGAACTCGTACCATCCCAGCCGAACCAGTATCGACCGCTTACCCCCGCTAGCCGTTGCAAAACAAACTATGCGCGCACTTTCGTTCATAGAAACAATATTCAATAATCCCGTGCAGCACATATGACGAAGTGCGCGCGCGCGTCGTCACGAGCGCGTGCCAAAATCCTTGGGAACAAAACCATCGTTTTCGAAAGGATTTCAACAGCGAGCGTCACGGAAAAAAACACATAGGCTTACATCAAGAACTCGCAAGAAAAATGTGCGCCCGCGCTCTGGGGAATTATTTGGAAAACCCGGGGCTTCCAACATTTTCATAATGTGCTTCCAAAGTGGCCTCTCGCGCGCGTGTCGAAAACGTTCGAACGCCATTGCGCGCGCGCTGCCGCAAGAGTCCCATTGCAAACAACAAGAGGAAACGCACACGTGCGCGTCGTCTCTTGCGGTGTCGTGCGGATGTCAAAATCGAGTGCCCCGGCAACATGCAACAACACGCGGCGTTGCAACATCAATGTTCCCAAAACCTGCGCTCGTGCCCGTGCGGATTCTTAAGTAAACCATCGGCTTTCGAATGTTGTCATCACATTCTGCCAGACGGGCCTCTCGCGCCACATGTCGAACCTATTCGAACGCATTTGCGCGCGTGCTGGGGGAAAGAAAGGGGGGGCACGATCCGTGCCAAATAAAACCACGCGGGCGAATTGCGCTCGTCGGCCGCACGCGCATGTCGAACTCCTTCAAAAACCTTCATCGCCGACGCGTTGACATCGTCATCGTCATCGACGGGCGTGATCAAGATCGGCGCCGTCATTGGCCCTGCCGTCGTCATCGCCACCTTCGTCACAATCGCTACTCTCATAATCGTGTCTACCCTTGTCGGCGTCGCCATACTACCGCGCCCGCCCAAATCACCGACTCGCACTGACATGCCCGCCGGGACGTGCCCAGCTGTCAGCACCACCGCGGCCGCGCCAGTCGCGCCAAACTATCTGGCCGCTGTGCGCGCGAGCATGCGCGGGCTAGCGCGGCCGCAGCGACGCACGAGCCAACGCCAAGAATCATCGCAATCGCCGCCGCATGGATTTTGCAAACCAAGCTGCGGGTGGGTGGGTGGGATGTTTGCAAGAGCATGGAAGGTGGCCAAACGCGGTGCAGGGTAGTCAATGTCACAACCTGAATTGTACCACAAAGATTGCGCTACATAGATTGCTGCGTACAGGTTGCACAACAGATATGGCTAGAGGCAGACTGGTTGGGGCACATGCTGGCTAACATGAATATGCACGCGCCAACGTCTTCGGTAAGGGGTCCAGGATCTGGGCTTACGGGCTTTCCTGGGCGCTGTTGGGGCTGATAGGTGCTCTCGTAGCAGCGCGCGTACTTTCTCCAGAGGCCTCGGGAGCGAGGTTTGAACTTACTCCTTCCACACTGTCTGAAGACGGTCGAGCTGCTCATCCTGGAGCAAAATTGGGCGCCCCTTGGGCCGTCGTGGAAGCCCTGGGGGCTGGCACAGGAGACCAAACTAATCTAAACAAATCCGTGCCCCCAATGGTTGACCATAATCGCCTTTTCGGTTTTAATCGCGCCTCGCGGGACGGCTGCACCGTATCTGCCGACCTCGCTCGCAATTCTCGGACGGTCTCCGCATCCCCAAAGATAGGGTTCGGCACCATTCAAACCTATAGCGTACTTGCAATCATCCGCATCAGTCTCATCCATGCTCGATCGATCCTGCTCACTCCTTCCTTCTGCCAAATGCCTTGTCCCTCCTTCCCCCCTCCAAGCTCATCTCTCGTTCCTCCTCCTCCTCCTCCTCCTCCTCCGCCTCCTTCTCCTCCTCATTGTCTTCATCCTTCTCTCTTCGCGCCCTCCCCCATTCACATCTGATCTCCCTCCTCGTACCCCCTTCTCAGACCACTTGCAAGTGCATGCATGCACGGGGTTGTACGAGCACGACGGAAAGTCCTTCTCTTCCCCCTCCTCCTCCTCCTCCTCATCATCCTCCTCCTCCTTAGCATTGCTCCTTCCCACCACCATGTCAGTATAACTGGAAGCATACACCTAATAAACATAACCAGCATGAGCATCGTCAACATCCTCATCCTCATCCTCATCCTCATCCTCATCCTCATCCTCATATTCATCATCATCATCATCATCATCATCATCATCATCATCATCATCATCCAGAGCACCATCAGCATCACCATCATCATGATCATCCTCATCATCATGAGCAGCATCATCATGACCCTCATCATCAGCAGCAGCATCATCATCATCAACAGCATCATCAGCATCGACTCATGAGAGTGTGGGGTTGCCGAACGGTCTAGTCTCATCTCGTCCATGAACACGCGTTTCAATGGTGGGGACATCCCTCCTCCTCCTCCTCCTCCTCCTCCTCCTCCTCCTTCCTCCTTCCTCCTCACTGGGCCGCTGACTCGCGCGGGTCTCCTGTCGTCCGTCATCAGGCGGTCTGCAGTCGGCGGCGTCGTCGTGACGATCATGTGGCCGCC